TCCAGCTCCCATGTCTGTGGCTGCAGAGTTCTTCCTGGCAGCAGAATTGATGTAGTTTTGCTGAACTAGGAAAGGAGTTGGATTGTTTGGGGGATGGGCTATGCAAGAAATGCATATCACTGTGCAGCTGAGAGAGATTGTGGGAGGACCAGAGGCTCTTGACCCTTTGGCCCTTCTTCTGTTCCCAAAAATCACTACTGTGATGCATGTGTGGGGTACGGCATGTTATCTCAGCCACCAGAGCTGAGATACCCTGGGCAGTGGCTCTGTAGCTGCACAGCAGTCTATGGAGAGGTATCTCTTAGAGATAACCAGTGTACACCTCACTATTTGGGTTGAATACTAGGTTCCTGCATTTGCCCCTAAATTAGCCATTGCACCAGGAGCCAGTTTAATTGCTTGCAAATATGAGTAATGTGAATTTCAGAAAGTAAATTAAAATCAAACAGAGTACTGAATTTTCCATAGATTATGAAGACACATGACAAATGAAAGAGGAAAGCCCGGTAAGGGACTGTCAGGATACATCGGCATCGTGGCAACAGGCACTGTTACATAGCCATGAATTTATGAAGATTAAACCAATAAAAAGATGTCACTAATTCCCTGAGATGAACTTAAAATAACAAATTAGAATCAAAAGGAAAATCTGTTTCTCTTACCACAGGGACAGACTAGTTCTACAACCTTGCACACAATGGGCTGGCACGAAGCAGAGAGTAGACTATATGATACTGTCAGTGAGTCAGAGGAAAGGACCTTTAGGTTGCTCACTTGTAGTGATGGGTATAGTGGTATCTTTAAATAAGTAGATCATTGGGGAAGGGAGACTGTGGAAACCCCAATTAATGATAATACAGAGGATTTTTATAAGCACTTTGTGGGTTCAGAGTTCCTTACAGACTCTAACTACTTAATCCCCACAACACTCATTTGAGGCTGGTAAGTATTTGTCCCCGTTTTATAGATGTAGAAACTGAGAATGAGAAGTTAATGACCAGAATTTCAAAGATACTTGATTTCAGTGGGAGCTGGGAGATGTACTGCTCAGCACCTCTGACAACCAGGTAATCCCATGATGTATTATCCAGTCAGCAAGAGAAATGGGAATAGAGCTTTGGACTTCCAGACTTGTACTTAAACAATTATACCATGCCACCTGCCTCATCTGCTCTTGGAAGTGTACACAGTTCCCATTGATACTAATGGAATTGGATAGGAGTATTGTTATGACCGTAACAAAAAAGGGGGAATCTCTTAGCCTGAAGACACTTCCTTACATAATTTATAGAAGAGGAGTTATACCCTCATTGCCAGTATGCTCTTGATTTTATTTTAGCCATTTGCTTTCCTGGAAATATTTAGTCAAATTTTTGGACCTGCTACTTTTTAATCTGAAAATCATATGAAACTATTTACAGAGATAAAATTGTTTCCTTTACATTAAAAAAACCCCAGTCTGGATGAAACTTAACCTGTTTGTTCAAGTACAATTGCCTTACTTACTGGAAATATTTTTTGAGGCAAGTGGCATGAGCTTTCTAAATAATAATACCCTGTGGCTTAGGCTCTGACCCAATGTAAGTATTATATCTGAAAGCAAGTAGTACCCAGAGGGTCATGCAGAATTTAAGTGCTGTGGCTGTCACTTTCAGAGAATTAGAAGCACTAACAATATGCTTAGTTCTGTATAAGACTCAAATTTTAAAAGTCCCTGTCCCTGCCCTGAAGATCCTACAATCTAAATAGGACAAGATGGACCATAGAGGCACAGAAAGATGTTAACTTTTTTTTTTTAAAGTAAAACAAAAAACTTTTATAAATATCCAAAAAAAAGTGTATTTTTAAACGATTTCACAAAGCTTAGAGGTCCTCATTTCACTCCTCCCACCTCCCCATTTTAAGTCTCTCATATTATGGGTTTAATTTTCAAAATATCAGATGCCAAGCCTCATCTGCAAAACCACATGCACAATTGTATGCCTATCTGGTACACACAATTACTGTGATTAAATGTGTAATATGGTATTTGCACACAGAAATATCCAGAAAGTTATCTCACAACTCCTCCTGCATTTCTGTCCCTAGCACTTCTGCTATTTTGAAAATAAGGCCCTTACTGGCAAATGCATTGATAAAAATCTTAACTAACACATTTATAAAATAATAAATGAGATAAAAATATGTGACTTTCTGGGTGGTCTCACTGACATGCAGTATGTTCAATATGCTAATGAAAAACAGAATTGTTTGCTGTGATCCCAAGGTAAAGCACTTTTAGTAATAGTATCACATGTGATCTTTGCTGCAAGTATGAGTGATATGGGTAGGGCCATCCTAGAGGGGGAGAAGGGGAAGTTTGCCCCAGGATTTCCTATTTGAGAGGGCCCCCAAAGCGAGTAGTGCTGCAACCTGGTGCACCGGGTCACAGCAACACTCATTGAAATTTGGCCCAGCAGTCCCTCTGTCATGATGACCGGGTCGCAATGCCCAGAGTGGGGAGCAAGGCTCAGTCCCTCAGGACACAAATCAAACTGCTGCTGCAAGGTGGACCCCCCAACTCCCCATCTGGGCCGCCTCTTAGGATGAGGGGGCCTCAGTTACAGAGTTAGTCCCAGACCCCCCTAAAAATCTCTGCAGCCCAGGGTATGTGAAGTTGGTGAAGAGCTATTTTATATGCTCTAGGAAGTTATTGGGGAAGTTCAATGGCCTACAGGAGATCAGAGTAGATGATCACAATGTCCCTTCTGGCCTTGGAATCTATTCAGATCCATTTAAGATGTTTTTGTCTTCATGCTGGTAAAATTTCTACATTTTAGGCCTATAGGATGAATAGCTGATGATACAGTAGTTAACGGAGAGGAAAAAAATCCGTTGCAAAGACGTCAGGGGCAAGATTTGTTCTTAGAAAAAGTCAATATCGGTATCCAGTCAGGGGTCAGATTGTGAGGCAGAAGTGATGTTACTCCTGAAAAAAACCCAAGTTTGCCACACTCCCACACTAGTTGGATGTGTTACATTGACTGGGGATTGAATAGTTAATGATGTTGCACATTAAATACCAAGTTTTCAAAAGAACTAGGCTTGATCCTTATGCAAAAATGTGTGCACAGGAGTGACCCTACATTTGTGTGCCATTACCATACGTATATTTGCATATGGTAAGTCATCTAAAATCACTGCATGACTAACTGTCAAATTCCCACATACAGTCACAGTAATTGTTCACACAATGTAGGTGCAAGGCTTTCTGATTTTCAGTTTTGAAAACTTGCCCCTTATGTAACCATCATTATACTTCAGAATTAACATCATACAGCATATTGAGCGAAATGGAGCAGTTCACACATTTTAGAACTATTGTTTCTCTGAAGATGAATTATGACATAGGTTCATATTTGAAAAATGTCTTCACCAGTTCAAAAATTTACCAAGTAATATTTTTGGTTTTTAATAAAAAATAAATTTTGCAGACATTGATGGAGATAAAAGAGAAGTGCTCATATGGCACACTGCCTCAACCAGACCCCTACATCCAGTTAAGTCATTTGACCATCCATTTCCATTACGTAGAAATATCTTGTAAAATAACTTGGCTTTCCCTTTGTATACTTACATAATGGAAAGCCTCTCTGGAAAATAAGCTTTAGGTACTTGTGATGTGCACAGCTGTATTTGGGAATGTCAGAAAGTGGGAATATATTTGATGCAGGGAACTGTCTACAGTAGTATATTGGATGTTGTGATTTCTTTTCAAGTTTATTATTTAAATATTTAAGTAAATTGTCTTGTAAATGCTACTCTTAATGATTGAATGTTTATGGTGTTTTTTAACTACTATACTAAATGTAATGTACTGTATGTTAAATAGTTATTGTTGCTAAAAAGAGAAAATAATATGCCTGAGTTAACAATAGAAAAAACAGAAGTAAGAGACAGCAACTTCATGGGACAAAGGCATCTGACTCACTGAGGTGTTCTTCAAAATCCCAGCCAAGGACAAACATGAAGTTTTCACTTTGCCAAGTTACATTTTATCTATGTCTATTGACCACGTGGTTGACTTGTTTTCACTGTGTCCTTTGTCACTTAAAGATGATTTTTTTTTATGCAACTGACTAAAAGCAGCTTCAGTTAGTTGCACTAAGCTTTCTATACTGTCCATGAAGACAAGCTCTGTGAAGCTCAAAAGCTTGTACCTTCCACCAACAGAAGTTGGTCCATTAAAAGATATTACTTCACCCACCTTGTCTCTCCTATACTCTCCATGGCAGTGGTTTACATGTTCTAGAAATAGGTAGCATTGCAATAATAGACCTAATTCACTCTTGCTGGGGCAGACAGATGAATATCTAACCTCACCGCACTGGCCTCAATTTTTCTGATAGTCTTAATGGGATTGAAGTGAAGTGAAGATGGTACCATTGTCACCTTCTCTTATGAATTCCATCTTCGATGGTGGCTTTAGCTTCTGCTGAGAGCTTCTTAGGAGCTCTGTTGGTGGAGGTCGTCCAGGGGATGGTCTGAATCAACACATCCCTGACTCCCATTCCTTTCATGGACAGTGTTGCCCACTTTTGGGGGTTCACTGGCTCTGAGCAGCCTTCCTCATGCCCGTACGCCCTAGTAATAGAGAAAGCTGCTGCTGCTGCTTTGAACTGCTGGTGCCTTTCTCCTCCAATGCCCTCCAGCTTGCCACCATCATCTGTGTTGTCCTCTGCTGAATGTAGTTCAGCTTTCAATCATTTCTTGTTGGTTCTTGCTTTTTCCAACATGATTGTGGAACAAGAGTGTGTAATCTTCCTTGTCATTGCCCATGATATATGCTGTCCCCAAATCCTTAAAGCCAGACTGCAGTACAAGACAAGGCTGTAGCTTAATTTCAAATTCAAATGTGTGCTTTAAACTGAGATACGGTGGGTAGATTGAAAATGATCCTCCAGATTCATTTTAATAGGCTGTTCAAGCCTCAGAGCTCAATTTTTTCTTTTCCTCTTTAGCCCCCACTACCATCACATGCCTTACAAGGGGAGTTGATCTCAGAAAGGCGAGAGCAGATGTCCTCTGTCCAGCAGACTGCCCGCTATGGCAGTTCTATGTCTTTGGGAATGTAGTTTATGCCTCCCTTTCCAGCATCTGTGGAGCTGCCATTCACAGGTAAGCTAGAAGACTACTAATCAAGATGACAAGGAAACACATTTTAGAAATTAACTATATTTTTCAGTTGTAACCTTTGGCTGCCACCCAAATTATGGATATTCCTGACAATTCTCAAAACACACCAACAAAATGTCATTAAAAGACTTCAAGTCAAATACAGCTTGGAGTAAGTGGCTGTAACTTTCATGAAGTCTCTGGGACAAATTCAACAGTGACGATAATGATAGAAAGATGCTCTTAAAACTGGTGTAAATGGCAAAGTAGAATAACTTGCACTAGCCTGGCAACCGGTGCGCAATGGGTATAATTTATAGATATGGGAGGTGGAAGTGGGGAGACTATAGCCTGAAAAGTTACTAGTTGGAAGGTGTAAGATAAAGCAGGCTTCCGCTCTCCTACTTTCTTATGCCACACCATTCTCAACACTGCTCAAGTCAATTTCAGCCCCAGTGTAAGCTGACACAACAATGATCAGCATCAATTTACTGCATGCAGCATACAAGCTCAGTATTAATCAATATTACATTAATTTACCAATTATATTTGTTTTCATGACTACAATTTACACAATGTGTAATTTACACCACCACTTATGTCGCTGCAAAATTTTGCCTATGAATCTGGGTATTTGGATAGCAAGAAAAGGATTTTGAATATATTTTTAATTACTGTCACTATATGGGCCATCAGGCATTTAGTGTGGGTTAGAAATGTTTAAGTATTTTAAATATAATTTTTAAAAGAAATAATTTGTTTCCTTTTAAGGGTAATTAATTATGGAAGTTAGGCAATGTAGCATGTTATGACCTTAAAACAAAATTACTCAAATTATGATGTAGTTTTTGTTCACTATGTAGCTCTTGGGGTTAAAACGTGGGGAATCATCTATGTTCTAAAGCTTTTAAGGAAGGATTTGTCCCACTGCATGTGATTGGCTGGGGCACATGACTTACAAGAAGAGGCTGAGGGAACTGGGGTTATTTAGTCTACAGAAGAGAAGAGTGAGGGGGGATTTGATAGCAGCCTTCAACTACCTGAAGGGGGGTTCCAAAGAGGATGGAGCTCGGCTGTTCTCAATGGTGGCAGATGACAGAACAAGAAGCAATGGTCTCAAGTTTCAGTGTGGGAGGTCTAGGTTGGATACTAGGAAACACTATTTCACTAGTAATAACTATAATTATTATTCTTTAAGAAATTATTATTTCTCTGGTATTTTTCCTTATTCTTTTAGGGTGAAAACCACTTCACCTATGTAAAGTATGAGCGTGAGGAGGTTGTGCTGGGGAAATTTAAACTCCCACCACACTCCCAACCAGGGTTAGGTAATGGGCAATATACTACCCTCTACACATGTACTGAACTCTTCTTGAAGTCGCAGTTTGTAGAGTCATTTACTTGCTGTACAATAGTATTGTGTATGTTTCTTGAAAGCTACGCAAATAGTTTGTATGCTTTTTAGTGAGTACAAATACAATACAGTACAGTACTTTAGATTTAAAAAAGTTAACAGCACAAAAATGTGCTGTAAAAACTTTTAATGCGAGTTATTAAAGAACTGACTTCACAACCAAAAATGAAAGAATTCTTCACAGTAAAACTGTATTTGAATAAAAAATAGGCCCATGTGACAGTTTAGATGCAAATCTGGATTCAGGATTTGGAACTAACCCATCACTAATTCAGGGCTGGATTCTCCAATCCTTCCTCACACGAGTAGTCCCCTTTACTTCAATGGACTACTTGCTAGAGTAATACTGTTTGACATGTGTAATGACTGTAGAATATGGCCCCAAATAATTTCCTATACTGTAACTGATGTGAGGTTTTGTGCCCATCTTGGTTATTGTATTAAATCCTTCCTTTCTTTTTAATATGCCTAATTACTGTCAAGATACGGAACATCGCCAGCCTTTTCCTGACTAGACAATAAAAGGTATATCTCTGTCATGGGGAATGTAGGGGAACCTACTGATGATTATGCCTAGACATGAGGAACTGAGCTAAAGCTACCCTTGAGACATTAATTGGATTAATAATCAGAAGACAAAATTGAGGACCAGATCCTCAGCTGGGGTAATAGTGGCCTAGATGCCAAATTACACCAGCTGAGGATCTGGCCCAATATGTTAATTTTGAGATGGTATATGCTAAACACTAGATAACTTTTAAAGCCTAGTCAGAGGTGGGACATGCCTCAAGTCTGACACTGGACTCCCATACTGCCAGTGTCACAAGAAATGTCACACTTTTACCAAGTTAGCTATATTAGTCTTTAGGACACAGGCTAATCCCAAGGGGTATGAGAATTTCCTGAGTTGTGGTGTTCACTAGGAGAAAATTGGCAGAGAGTATGTTTGGCCAGAGGAATGCACTTCTGGGCAGTTAGGTCTGTTGGGAAACTTTGGGCCACTGCCCGCTCCTGCTGGGTCTTGTTCCTAAGTCACGCCAGAAACATGGAGTGCAGTGGAAGCAGAGACAACAGAACCTGTGTTGTAGGGAGAAGCTGGCACTGAACCCAGAACAGCTCTGGGTCAAAGACGGAGAATACAGGCAAGCCAGCAGCAGCAAGCTGCGGTTGGGAAGGATGCCGCTTCTTGTGGCCACAGGGGAGGAAGGAGATGGAAGGAATTGCATTAGCAGCTAGAAGTCAGGGAGTAGGGAGAGAAAGATGGGAGCCAAGTTAATTCAGCTGTCATCACTTGGGGTTCTGTTTTCATCCTTGAGTTCCATCAGAAATGACATCTGTAATTAACTACTTACAAACACATTTTACAGTGTAGTCATGGTAAAAAGTACAGGAGTACTTGTGGCACCTTAGAGACTAACAAATAAATTTATTTAAATTTAATAATAATAAATTTATTTGTTAGTCTCTAAGGTGCCACAAGTACTCCTGTTCTTTTTGCGGATACAGACTAACACTGCTGCTACTCTGAAACATGGTAAAAAGTGCTTCTTATCATGGAAACTTCCAGGGCAAAATTCCCTTCTCAGAGATGTATCTCTGTATCCCCTCTCAGATCCTGACTTCTGTATTCTGCTCTGTCCCTGTATAGCACATGTAGATTTCCCATAAACATCAACTGGGGAGCAAAACTATTAGCATCGAAATATGCTAGGAGAAGTTTGCCTTTAGATTTCTGGACTGAGTCAAATGAGTACACACTTTTGTTAAGGGCGCAGCCTCAGCTCTGGGCTCCTTGATGTTTGTGTTTTTCCACTGGAACATTGACTCCGCGGTTTAAAGGTAACATCCATTTCCTTTCATTTTGACGTGTTTTTTCCTGTCCTTGCATGATAACATCATCTCTATCCACTTCCATGGACTGTGTTTTGGCATTGTCTTGTCCTTCCCTAGACAATTGCATCGATCTGAACATTACGTTACTCTGAGCCCAGTCAAGAGAACAGGCACTTGGCATCATCTCAAATAACATTTTTTTTTTAAAGTAAGTAGCTTATGCGCTGCTGAGGAGAGCTGTGTGGAGCTGCTGGGCCCCTCTTCACATGAAAAACCTGGCAGGACCATCATGAATTCCAAAGTGACTGAACATTTATCCAGAGGAAAACAATTTCTATGAGGCAAAAATCTGTGATTTCCCTTTTCTTTGAACTGTAGAACTGTTTTTGCTTACCACTGACTGCTCCAGCAGGTGTTAATAGTTTGATTTGATTTATACATGTATCTGAGAAAAAGGCCACCTCTACTATCTGGAGGAATAGCTTAGTAGTCTAAAAATTGGGCTTGATACGTCAAGACCTTCTGGAAAGAGACATGCCAAAAATGTGAGAAGGTTAAGCCGGCTCTTCATCACCTTCTGAGATACGATAGGTACATTGAGTTCCATGCCTCTGAAGGGGAAGATGAGACTTTAAAACTGGAGTCCTGTCTGCTTACCCAGGGTCTGATCTAAAGATAAATGAACTTGTTGAGAGACTTCAAGGGGCTTTGGACTAAAGTTATACCTTTCATAATAGTGAAGTTTGTTTCGTTTGTTTTGATGTCCAGGGCCAAAATTCCCCCTCCCACGCAGTATTGCGCAGTGAGATATTGGATGGCCCTCTCTGTGTGTCTGCATTTCAATGGTTTACATGTAACTCTGTTTTGTTTGTGCGTGTTTTGGAATGAAAAGAACTGTCTAAATGTAAACCATGGTTATTACTAACAGTGCAGCTGGTCAAGAGAAAGGGCTGCCCACTTCTGTGGATTGTCACTGTCAGGCATTGATAGGACAACAGGAAAAAATGTGGTGATCATTAGTTAACCAATAGAATGAAAGGCGTTCCTGGAAAATGTATAAAGTTCCAGTATAACTAAAACAGCCTTGGCACGCAAGGCATTGGCACCAGAGTAAAATACAGTGGTTCTGTAAAAATATAAATCAGGTTTTGATAGCAAAAATTGTTTTTTTCATTTAGGCGGAAATTCACAAGCCCTTCTGCTTAGCTCCCACATGGACCTTCTGTATAAGGTGAATTTCACCTTTAAAGGAAATCTTGAGCTATCATGAAAATGAACTTTCCAAATTCATTAACAAATGAACAAAAACAGATACCAGAAATACGGTTATTTCATTTCAGCTAATATCAAGTGTGCGTTCCGCCTAGCTAACATCAACCTCAGCTTTGTCAATAGTCTCAATGAGGCCCAAAATGGTGACACCCAATAACACATCCCAAACAAAAAGAAAAGAACTAATTTAACAAATTACAAATTAACTATTTACATATGCATGGTGTCTGTCAGGACAGTTTCACATCCCCAACATAAAATAATTTTATTCCCACCCAAATCTCTTTGGGGCTTTTCTCTCCCTGGATTTCGTTTCAGTGTGCTCTTGAGACATGTCTATTGTTTCTGTGGAACTTGCTGGCTGTGACAATTCCTGCCCATTCTGTTTGAAATGCTACACCCCTTGATACTGCTTTATATGGTCCTTATGGATAGCTTTGGGTTTAGTCCTGGGACCAAACTGTATCCTACACACCGCTTTGTTTATTTGAGTTACTACTGTGTAGGGTTCTGTCCAAGTTTTTTCCAGTTGAGGGCTCCTACCCTTTTTTCTCCTAGGATTGTGGAACCAGACCAGCAACTCCTCTTTTAAAAGTTTCTCCGTCTGACCTCAGGTCACAGAGTCTTTTCATTTTATTAGCAGCTGTTCTCAAATGTTTCCTAGCAAAGCTGTGAACTTTTTCAGTTTTGGATTATAGGGGTCCTGCATCATCCAAATGGTTGAAACCCTTTTGTTCCTCTTCAGAAACTCCATACAAAATGTTTGCTGGGAGGGGGCCTTAGCACATGCCCAAACATGAGGCGTGCTGTAGTACACTTTGTACTCTCATTGACTGCTGTTCTATAAGCCATCAAAAGGAATGGGATATGCTAGTCCTAGTCCTCTTGGTGCTGTTCTACAACGGTAGCTAGCTGAACCCCCAAAGTCCTGTTGAACCTTTTGACCATCATCAGACTGTGGATGTGCCGGGGTGGTGCAAGTTTTGTGGACCCCTAGAATCTCACAACCCTGTTGAAACTCTTTAATTTTAAACAGGGCTTTGGAGCGGAGCCCGGAGCTGGAGCGCGGAGCAGCTCCGGAGCAGTGGAGCTTCAGGTTTTTGCCTGGAGCTGGAGCGGAACTGGAGCACAGCTTCAAAGCCCTGGTTTTAAAGTTTCACCCCGATCTGTGTGTAACTCACTCAGAATCCCAAATCTGGTGAAGAAATCATTCACAAGGATCTCTGCTACTGTCATAACCTTTTGATTTCTTATTGGGTAAACCTCAGGCAACTTTGTAAAGTATTCCCATAGCTACCAGCAAATATCAATCGCCAGCCTCTGTCACAGGGCAAGGGCCCAATAATGTCAGTGGCAATGCATTACATTGCTGCCCCCACAAGATATTGCTGCAAGAGGGTACTCCCAGTTTTAGAAGAACCCTTCTTTGTAACACAAGGATCAGATTTCCTGCACCAGCTTTCTACATCCTGCTTGCGTGTTACCTAATAGAAATTCTCCCTTAGCATTTTGTAACCCCAAAATGTCCAGGAGTTTTGAGATCATGACATAACCTCAGAACCTCCTTTTCTAATGTATCTGGTACAACCAACTGGTATCTGGATCCATCACCCATTGGTTTCACCCTGCTCCTATACAATATTTAATCCTTAAATTCCAAGCTCTCTCACTGTGACTAGAAAGCTTTGACTGTGGTGTTTACTACATTCCAAGGTGTCTGCGTTTGCAAGGTGATTCTCCAGTCACACACTACCCTACTATCAGGATCCTGTCTTTAGGAAGTTTTGAGTTGCTCTGGGTCCATTCCTGCAACCCCACCCCATGGTTAAGTGGATGAATCAGAAACATGGGCCCTTTTGCGAATTAGAGGAAGGGAAGCACTCCCATTCCTCTGAGCAACTAATTCCTTGCTCTCCTTCTTAGGACAGGGTTTGCAGCAAGGCTGCTTGGACAAGGCATCAGTATTAACATGCATATGACCAGGGCTGTGTGCTATTGTGAAATCACAGCACTGCAGTTTCTCCAACCATCTGGCAAGCTGTCCCTCAGGATTTCTGAACCTAAAGAGACATTGCAGAGAAGCTTGGTCTGTCCTGACCATAAACTTCCTCCCATACAAATAGTGATAAAAACATTCTATAGATTTAACCACTGCTAGGAGTTCCTTTTCAGGTGGGGCAATGATTTCTCTCAGGAGAATGTAGACTTTTGCTATGATAAGCTACCACCCTCTCAAGTCCCTGGAGTTCTTGTGTCAATACTTCTGCCAAACCATAAGCACCAGCCTTTCTGTCCAACGAGTTTGAAACATAAGTAGGCCAAGACAGGACCAGTCAGTGGAGCCTTTTCCAACTCTAAAAACAAACATTTATATCACACTCTGCTGACCACTGAAATTGTTTCCCTTTCCCACCCAACTTATGCCATCATTTTTGCAATACTCAAATTAACCGTCTGTAATAGCAGAGCCCTGCAAAACTCTGTATATCTATAAGTGTCTGGGAGTTGGCCAGCTCTGTACCACCTCAATTCTCTTTTGTCAGTGAAAATTCCCTCCCTACTAATCGTGTGCCCAAGTAGATTCTCTCTTTTTTGGAACATCTCACATTTCTTCGGCTTCAGTTTCAAACTGGCTGCCTTCAGCATCTCACAGACGTTTTGTAAATGGCTTGGTTCCTGTTCAAGGATTTTACCATGCACAGGATATCATGTAGGCATAACAGATAGGCTGTGAGGGACATGCCATGTACTACCCTCTCCATTAGCATTTCAAATATGGCTGATGCACTGCACAAGCCAAAAGCCATTACTTTAAATTGCCACGAGCCTTGTCCTCCTGTGAAAGCAATTTTTTCTCCATCTTTTGGATCCACTTCCACTCACCATACTCACTTTTAAGATCCAGTGTGGAAAACCAGACTGAACCTGCTATAGCACGCATGGTACTATCTATTCGTGGTAATGGATAAGAAACCTTTAAAGTGACTTCGTTTAATTTTCTATAGTCCATCCAGAGTCTTGTGCTGCCTTCCTTTTTCTTAACCAGAACTATGGGTGAACCCATAGTCCAAGGCTCAATAATGTCTTCCTGGTATATTTCCTCAATGTCCTGTAGTGCCTCTTTCCTTTTTTCTACTGGCAACCAGTGAGGTAGCTATTTAATTGGTTGGTTTCTCCTCCTATCAATCTAGAGCTAGAGCACTGCAGTATAACCAATACCTTTGTTGGCCCGGGAGAACACCTCATGATTCCTAACCAGAAGTCTCTTAAACCGTTCCACGGTGCCCAATTTAAGCATACAGCACTGTGCTGGAACAGGTTCAGTAGAAATTCTGGGAGCTCACCTTCACCCCATCCCCTTATAGTTTTCTAATTTACCTCTTTTGATCAGAGCCTTTGGTTCTTCTTCGAGTCGTGTCCCTATGGGTGCTCCATTTCAGGTGTGCATGTGCCCCAGGCACCTTCGATCTGAGATTTTTAGGTAGCAGTGTCCAGTCGGCCTGCACGTGCTCTACTCTGCCTTGTGCTTTGCACCATGGCTATATAGAGCTGCGTGGGTGAACCATCCTTGGTTCCTTCTCAGACACCTCCGCCTGAGATGGAGTCTCAGCAGTGTCCAACCTTGCTTACCTCAGCTGTCGGTTTTTTTCATACTTTTACTTAGCTTAGTTGGTTATAATAGTGGCAGTTGGTAATAGTAAAATAATGTTAAAAATTAAGGACCTTGTCCTTTCCATGGTTTTTTTAATGCCTCTTTAAAAATGTTACTGTATACTTGTAAAGTATTTAGCTGGCATTGTGGTAAGACCGTCCTCTTTTATCCCAGAGGGGTGATCACCAATGCGGGAGGAACTGTGAGGGTACAAACCCTGCCAGGACAAGAGAACTACTCTGCCGTATATGCCAATGGGATTCAGTCTCAGGTGCTCACTAGATGGGCTTCATCTTTCTCGGTGGCTGGTAGGTGGATCAAGTATTTATTATTTAGTAACATATTTGCAACGTTAACAAATTTGTCCAGGCCTTTCAGTGGCCTGTGGCTATACAGCATGCTGTAGAAACAATGACCGACTTTCTTCTTTTCTCATTGTTTTATCCTCCATTTTCTTATAATCCCCTTACCATACTATTCCAATTTGGACTATTCAGTCAATGATTGCTGCTGACTCTGATACATAAAGCGGACTTGAGTTACTCAGACCCAGATCCTCAAAGGTATGTAGGCACCTAACTCCCACTGAATTCAACTCCCATTGAGGATCTGGGCACCAGTACCCATTGACCAGTCTGTTACTGTTCTTAGGATACCGAATGCTATAGCCTTCATCCTAGGGAAATGGCACAAAAAGCAACCTTGCCAAAGGCCTCCAGGAAAATTCCTGTCCTCATTTTGTGAGAAACTGAATAAAGATAGGGGATCATGTAGGTCAGTAACACCACATTGTATGTTTTTTCATTTAGGGCCCTGTCTTGTCCAGTGCTCAACTCTCATAGGAGTTCAGTACCTCACAGGATCAGGACCTTAGTTAGGTATAATGTGCTTAAGTGTCTCCTTTGAACCTCTACACTGTAGGTTCACATATCCTTAAAGAGAATTTTGTCTGTACTATCAGTTAACTGGCATTTGTTGATCTACGTTAATCTTAAAGAATGGCCAGTCAAGTTTTTTCCTCCTTTACCTCCCATCATGCAGACAGATAAAACCTGGTCTTCTGTGAAACTTGTTTCTTGTGAGGATTTCAGTATATACAGTAAAACTACCTGTAAGGAGAGACTCCGCTATGTGTCTATCTGTATCATGCCTGGTTAGGGCTTTCATTCTCTAAAGAGCATTGGGACAAGGAATATTATAAAAGGGATTTTTGGCAAGCAGGGTCAGAGGTATCATTGGATCACATGGAATATATCCGAGGGTGCCCCTTAGCAAAACTGTGGCCGTCCATTGCGGCTTTGGTTTCAGAAGTATACGTCGACAGAAGAAAGCTTCTGTAGTTTCTGGATTATTATTTTACAGGAGAATTAAAAATTTCTGTAGTGCTTCTAAACTGTTTACATAAATTCTACCTGCCAAGTCTATGAGACACTAGTAATTCCCATAAGGTGGCCACTACAAATTAAGGCCTTGATTCTGAGTGGTGCTGAGTGACATCAAATCCAGATGGCTTCAGTGGGAGCCATAGCAGTCAGCCTTAGCTCACAGGCCCATTATAAACTAGATGTGCTCTAATTATTTATCAACTGTACATTTTTCAAATTTGATTACTTTTTAAACACCTGCAATATAATTTGACTGCAGTGAGATGCAATGAATTCATCTTTTCAATATTATACAGGGACCAAGAGTGGAGCACTTGAAGCAGCTGGACGACCACTATCAACAGCACGCCCCTCCACAGGTTTGAAACATTTCTAATAGATGATCTTCCCAAGGGAAGCCTTCCACACTATAAGTGAAATGTACCCTCATGTGTGAATGGCTGCCTGATAGGGCAAGACTCATAGGATCAACTCATCTTTTGAATAAAGTTAGACTTTTTACCCAATATACTTAACAGGCAATATCAGGTAGCATTTGTAATCTATGGGGCTGATTGCAATCTCAGTTATGCTGATGTAAACTGGCAGAAACTTGAGTGAACACAGTGGAGTCACAAAGATAACTCAAGAAGGAAACCTGTTGTGTGCTCAGGGGCTTTTTCATTTCCATCAAGTGGTGGAGATGAAAATAAGGCGAATGCATTCCTTTTTAGAGAGGGAATTTGAGAGAGAGTTGTCCGTCTGACTCAGTGTATTGGTGAAGTTTAGATCCTCAGACCATGGTGATGGGTGCACTGTCAAGGATAGACTGGAGAATTCTTGTCATTCATGCAGTTGTAGTCAGTCTTGATCAGCTCAGATGTAGAAACATTGAAAAGGAAATAAGTCAATACCAAGTCATTCTTATTATACATTGTATTCAAAGTCAATATGATCCCATAACTGCTCAGATGACAGTTGACAAAGCTATAGAAATAGTTTTCATTCTCCCAGGTTTGCCTGTCGGGGAGCCACTGATGCTCACTACCACAGGTTTAAGGCTGCCATAACTTTACCAGTATTTGAGCCTGTGTATTTCTGAAAAACAAAGATGAATAACAAAAATTAAGTGCCTGCATTTCCCCACCAAATTTTACACTCAGACATGTGTTTGTAGTTCAGCTACTGCACTTTAAAGAACTAACAGCAGCAGCCATGATTTTGGTCAAAGTCAGGAAAGTAAGGAAAAATTCTGGCACAATATTGGAGTTGGAGTTGATACATTGGTAATGGACAGAGCCAGAAAAAAGATGGGCAGTCTTGTGTGAATGCGCTCTTGGGTGTAGCTAAAGGGTGTAATTCCTTGTCAGGATTTTCACTGGTCAAAGAACCAATCCTTGCTTTGAAGACATCTAATCCCCAGTCCATCATGCCCCTCATGATAATTGTTAGAAGCACACATACATAAAGGGTTTGATGAAAATCAATCTCAGATCAAAACAAAGTGAACTCTTTACCAAGCTGAGTTTCTAGCAACCATGAATCCCTCTTGGCTCCTACAGCAACTCCCTCTCTTCACTTCTTCCTCTCCGGGTCATGGAAGCAGCAGTATCAATTTTCTGTTGTGCTGCAACTAAATATTGTTACTTCATGTTATCATAACTTGAGTCTTATATTCACAGAGTGGCAAAGACAAAGCACCTTGCTTTAAATTGTTTTTTTGCAGAGATGAAGCAGTAACAATATTTTTCTCTGTCATGGTGAGTGACATGTTAATAACAGAGGGCCAGATTGTAGCTGGTCCTTCAGGACCATACAGGAGGGTAAGACAGTATAAGGTACACCTTACTCCAATGCTCCAGCTACCTGTGCTGTGGGTGGAAGCACAAAAGGAGAAGCAGCCGCTGCAGGGGCACTACACCCCTCCTGCATCAGTTGGCAAGAAGGGATGAGGGAATGGACAGAGTCTTGACTCCTCTTCCCCGCCCCCCAGACATACTAACTAGTGTAATTGCACCAGCATGCTGGGGAAAGCGTGCTGCACCTGGTATAGATCCTATGCAAGGTATATCTTTCCTGAAGGCAGGGAAAACTAGGAAGCACATAACTGAATTTGAGTCCTGTTTTGCTCCTGGGGCAGTACAAGTACGTACTGTCCCATATATGGGGCAATTGCAAAGCTACAATTGGCCCCATATTAACATTTGGTGGATGGAATGCCACTGAACTACCAACCTGTCCAACATTCATGCCATGCACAGTTTCTTCTGAGAGCTTAGCATTCTTTTTTAAAATATCTTCACAGTTGCAGTTGTTGCCTCTGGCAGAATCTGTCCTACATATTACTCTGTGTTAAGACTTTTCTCCTAAACTCCTTCAGAGCTAGAGTGTCACAGTATTTAGTTGTGCAAGAGAGACTATGAGTCTGGTTGTGGGGAGGAGAGCAGGTTATTCACTTGCTACTCTCCACTGGGAGTAGCCCTGACTCTGCTTCCCCCTGTCCACCTCAACCCCTAGCCAAGTAGCTGGCCAGGTGCATAAAGGGGAGTTGAGAGACACCATGAAAAAAGGATGAGGGGGAAAGCAGGGCTGGAATCACAATTTTCTGAATGCCCCTAGGAAGGCACACATATGTGCCACCTCTTACACAGGACAGATGGCAAGGTTAGAACCTAGCGCCTTTCATGTCTTGTCTCTTCTAGCTTCAGTTTATGCTATTGCTATTGAGCATGTTGTTCCCTACATAATCCTGCTGTTTCCTACATTTTAGGTAAACGACTTAAGAAACTTCTTGAGAAAACGGTTGGGAACAAAGGTAGGAATTCACATAGCTAACTCATGCAAAGCAAATTCCTGTTTATTTGACTTTCAATTAATCTAATTATCTTGGTGTTCACAGACTGTAAAGCGGATATTGCTTTTCTGATTGATGGAAGCTACAATATTGGCCAGCGTAGATTTAATTTGCAGAAGAACTTTGTTGGGAAAGTAGCTGTGATGCTGAGAATTGGAACTGAAGGACCACATGTGGGAGTTGTGCAAGCCAGGTATCTACACCATTATAAGAAAACTCTAGAAACTGAGTTATTAAAATGAGAAAGCTGAAGCATATAAAAATATCCTATTCAACAGACCACTACTTAGGTAGTATAAGTTATAACATTCTGCTTAGGAACGGTTGTAGTTGAGACATCCAACTAAAATCAATGTATTACAGGGGACTGGATTGTTTAGGACAGGGATTTCTAAAGATTTTCCTAGTGTGAACTACATTGTTAAGAGACAGCAAGTCTTACAGACACCTCCCTTTCTACTGATGATCCAGTAGTATCCCCATGACAACAGGAGCAATATTAAGAAAGTATTACGCTTTTTTTTATATGAGTTAGCAGCGGAAAACAAGGAGTAGAGCCAGCACCATGCTACCAGGCAGGTCTATGCATTCTATCAGCAAGTTCCACAGACCTCAGGTAGGGTACTACTTGGGCTGGGACAATGATAGTGGGACACAGAGCCTTTCTTTTCCAAGTCCCTAGTTCATACCCAACCCCAATAATGGTACATAGTGAATGCCAGTTTGAACCACTTCATGGTAGTTGTTTCATCTATGTGAAGTGTGTTTGTGGTTTCAGTCCAGTTCTGATTGGACTGGTGTCCAGTACACAAAAACACAACTGGGACTAATTGACAACCACAATGAGTGCCTGGGCATAGAAAACAAACTATCCTCTCATCTCCAGCAAGCGTTCCTTTATGTTAGTTTTGAGGTGAGATGATGTGGAAGGATGAGAGAAAGTTGTCTTGCTGCCTGTCCTGTCCTTGATCTGTGGAGAGAGGACTTGGGCCTCCAGGGCTGCCAGCACCATTCACAGTCAGGTATCTCATCTTAATAAAATAAAAAATAAATAAAAAAAAAAGATGAGGAAGAGCTCAGCAGAGTGGGGGTTCTAAAATTTGCCTTTTTTGATATTATGGTCAGTAATTTTTAATACCACACAAAAATGGAGTATCCTTGATCAGCTTATTGCAACAGATACTTCCAAACGTGTTAATGAAAATTGAAAAAAGAAAAAAAAAAAGACAACATTGGGTTGTTTTATGGTTTATAGCATAATACTGTCAGGCACTAGAACGGCCAGCCCAATAGCCTAATGCTTTTTTTTTTTTTTCTTCCCTTTAAAAACACCCCCCACAATTTTGTTTGCGGATTAGTTTGATTTAAGTCCTGGGCAGCTGGTTTTGTGACGTGACTATTTTCCAGAGCCCAGCCACTTTGGCAATTGCTTCTGGTATAAAGGAAGTTTCTTCTAAAAATGGAAATATCTGGTGGATTAAAAAGTGAGGTCTCTCCCACATCTTTCATCAAGAAGCCTGTATTAAATTATAGGTAACAAGAAACAATCACAGATATTGTGTGAATGTTGTGCAAAAAAAGATACTAAACATTATTAAAATAGATACTGAACAAAAGGATCCAAAAATTTCTGGGGGGAAAAATTGAATTTAATTTTATCAAGATGATCATCAACTACCATGTCAGCTTTTCCAGTTCAGTTGAAAAGAAAATTGTTGCAACATTACTTGCTGACCACATTAGCGAAGAAGACTTTGCTTCCTGGAGAATTATTATTGTTTGGCTTCATTTATTTGTAATAATTTTCTTTCCAAACCATGGGATTTGTCAGGAAATGTATAAATAGCCAAAACAACTGTTTGAACCGAAAGGCTTGGAGAAAGTCTTATGTAATGAGTGGACGGAATACTGAAGATAGGATGAGAGGAGAATCAGTCCCAAAAAGTGGAGTAATTATCTAGTGGGCAAATATGGCTGTCTTGGGGGCTAGTCAGCTGGAGTCGAGTACCTTGAAGAATCAAGCCGTTAATGGGAATGGATCATGGCAATTGCCCTCCAATGATCCTCATATCTTAAAACAAAAAACAAACAAAAAAAAGCAGTGTTCGGTCCTCGTCATGCACTGGGATCCACTTGTGCAGATCCGACTCTGCATAGGCAGAGGGGTCCATCTGATGCTGCATCAGGACCTTGACTTCATAACAATTGTCCTTTTCAACTGCAAGTGAGACCAAATGTACTTCTTACAGTTCACATGACACAACTAGTTTTTAATTTAGTATTTTGTTTGCCCTAAATTAGGAGTCGGAGGGTGAAATTCATTGCAGCTAAAATTTTCCTTTTTTAAATAAAGAGTAATTAGCTAGTACATCTAAAATCCATACAAATTACATTACTCAAACTATTTTCATTTAAAAGAAATTTAAAAAAATAAAATATATTTAGCAAATGTTTAAGATCTAAATTCAACAATAGAAAAATTGGCCAAATTCATTTCTGACTTACTCCAATGTGACTCAAAAGTAGTTCCATTTACAAGAGGTATAACTGAGAGCAAAATTTGTCCCTATAACAGTATACAAAAAACAGCAAATGAATACATTTTAAAATTAACAAAAATCATTCCCTCTTTACCTGCCAAGATCTCTGTTCTGAATTTGATTCCTTCTGCTGTCTTTGAGATAATCACAGACACTGCAAAGAGTAAGGGTCCCTACTCTGTTTTAAGAATTATCATCAACTATTGCTGACAAAACTCAGAATCCTGGATTCTGCCCTTCAGCAGGGTAAAAGGCATTTCATTTCTATTTTAAGATTGGTCATGTATGTCTGCTTTTTAACTGGTTGCTTTATTTTTCACATAGTGAGCATCCAAAAACTGAATTTTATCTGAAAAACTTTACTGCAGCAAAAGATGTTTTGTTTGCCATAAAGGAAATTGGCTTCAGAGGAGGCAACTCCAATACGGGTGAGTACAAATCTGATCAGAGACAGGATAAGAACTAATTGTACCAAAGAATGTTATTGTTGTCACTTTGTTTTGTATTAAAATGTTGGCCTGTCCTAAATTCAGTTTTTAGAAGATGAAGTTCCACATAACATTGCACCACAATACAAATGTGATAGTAATTTCCACTGTTTAAAGAGTCACGGATTTGTTTACAGGGAACAGCTTTGTTTCCTGAAACAAATATGCATCATTTATAGTAGAACGACTTGTAGACTGTCTGGGGTAATCAGAGCATATTAAAAAAAAAGAGTAAATGTTTCTGAAGGGAAATGGAATATGAGAGGAAGCAATAGAATATCTCAAATATATACACATTAAGTCATGAAGCAAAGTGGAACAGTGCCCTCAGTTCAGTGGTGCTAGTAAGCCAGTACAGTCAGCTATGCCATACCATTAAGATATTTATTACCAGTACTCCATACAAGAAAGACATTTTCAAGAATGAATTGTAGAGCCTTGCATGGATACAAATTTATACCCGCAGATGCAGATATCTGCAGAAAGAAATTGGTATCTGCTGAACCACAGGGCTCTCCTGGGAACCGCAGCGGTGAAAGGAGCAGAACATGGGGCCACTGCTCCCAGGAGCCACTGTCCCTCACCGGCAGCTCCTCTGGCATGGCTGTACTGCCCCCAGCCCTTCTACGCAACTGCTTCTCCTGTCTGGGGGTCTGTACAGACCTGCCAGAGTACAGGGCTGGGGGCGGTACAGCCATGCCGGAGGAGCTGCCGGTGTGGGCTCTCGGGAGTGGCGGCCACACGTTCTGCTCCTTTCACCACTTTAGTTCCTGGGAGACCCCTGCGGTTCAGCAGATACCGATTTCTATCCACGGATATCTGCATCCGTGGGTATAAATTTATATCCGCGCAGGGCTTTAGTCACGGAACATTTTTTGTGGGGGGAGGGGGGGGGAGTGCGGGGTCGGACCCGTTCCAGTAAGAGTTAAACTCTACTTCCACCACTGCCTCAGTTTCACCCTTCCACTTCAAGTGAGCTTCCTTGGAGAATTTATTTCCATAGGGCTGACCAGACCTACGCATAAAGTTCCACTTACTTTTGTTCAGTTGGAAATTACTGTACTTTCTATTGATTTGTGACTTACAGGCCACTCAAACTTCTGTGTTATCTGGAGTTCCCAGGAGAAAATTTTGCTATTACACCGGGATAAAGCCACAGTAACATCATATATGTCAGTGGACTAACTCCAGATTTACACTCCAACTGAGAGGAATTTGTGTCTCAGTCTTCCAAGGTCCTTTTGAAAATTCTACATTTTAGGAAGATCTAAGTCTCCAACTAGGGTGGCCAGGTCTCCAGTTTACGACCAGAAAGTCCAATAAAAAAGGGGACCTGATGGTGTCCAGTCAGATCTACTGACTGGACACCCAAAGTCCGGTTATTGCAGGTGGGAGAGGCACCAAGTCATCACCCATGTCAGCCCCTACTCAACCAGGGCCACCTCCTACCAGCATCGGGCAGCTGCAGCTCCCAGCCCTAGTTCTGCAGGCGAGTCCCTCCCGGCCCACACAGGGAGCGGGGGAAAGGAGAAACGCAGTGAGTGACAGACAGAGGGGGGAAAAGAGGAACTAACGGGGGGAAGGGCTTCAGGGGAAAGGGGCAGGGCAGGAGAGGGGCAGTGGGGGAAGAGTTTGGGGCAGCAGAGAGGACTAGGGGGGAAAGGCAGGGACAGGTCCTCAGGGGGAAGGGGAGGTTCCAGCACTTCCGCTGGAGTGTCTGTTTTTTTAAATATTACAAAGTTGGCAACCCTACCTCCAACCAGTGTAATGGAAATTAGCCTGGAGCTAGAATAGGGATGTTTCTAGGTTGGTTTATTGTTTTTAAGGTCATGGTACTCATGTTTGTGTGTTACTCTCCCTATCAAGTTAGTGTAAAAGAAACAATTCAAAATGTTTAAAAATCCTTTAATTTATAATCCTGGCAGTACAACCAGGAAAGTTCTGTCTGATTAACTAAAATTACGTATCCTACAGATCTATTAAATCTTTCCACCAGATGTTTTTAAATTTCTCTGAAGAGAGGTGGCATTCCCAGTATCTGGTCTTCTCCTCAGTATGAACAGTCTTTACCTGCTTTAGAAAGGGTTACATCCAGTACTACTCGACTGGTACAGAAACCCAATTTCCCAGTTGTGAAATAGCTTCTTCAGATTCTCCTTTTCCTGTTCAAAACTAGGAAAAGCCTTGAAACACACAGCTCAGAGATTCTTCTCTCTGGAAAATGGAGTACGCAGAGGGATTCCTAAGATCGTCGTAGTTTTCATAGATGGCTGGCCCTCTGATGATATAGAAGAAGCTGGAATAGTGGCCAGAGAATTTGGCATTAATGTATTCATTGTGTCTGTAGCAAGACCCACAACTGAGGAACAGGGAATGGTTCAAGATGTTGGTTTTGTTGACAAGGTATGAGAGAATATCCTCAATGTAATTTACTCTTCACTCATGGGTATTACACATTTCAAATGACTAAGTTTCCTCCAGCCTAAACTCCAAATGAAAAAGTCATACATATGTAATAGAGTTTTTAAAAGAGTTTGTCAACCATCTTGTAGAATAAAAGTGAATTATATCCCAGATATAAAATTCTAAAGGATCGTTTAAGCACTCTGTAGGAATAATATCACTATTGTATTCTAAAGGTTTTTGCTGTAATTTTTGTATAGCCTTCTTGGTTTTAAATCATTAAATTATATGAGACTCCTCCATAAATGTTGAAAAGGCCATTTAAAAATGAAGTTATTTAGAGCCAGATTTTCTACTCATTTTAGTGGGCACGGTTTTGCCTCCCACAATTTTATGCCCATCCTTGCTCGCTAGCATAAATAATAGTAACTAGATACTTACCTGATTTGTGATTTCATGCAGACATCTGACTACATGTTTGTATCTACAATTAACCGTATATACAAAATTGTATTTGCAAAATTAGAAGCCATCACAGAAAATTAGGTAATTATACTTTGAAGCAAAATCTAAAACCCTCCATTCTTTATATACTTGTATGTCCTTTGTCTCTTTGGTTCAAGATTTAAAATGTATAATTAGAACTTCCAGCTTTTATCCTTCATCTTTTTAGGAGTATTGCTAATTCTTAGAGAGGATCAGCATCTACAGCTCCCATTAGAATCATAGAATATCAGGGTTGGAAGGGACCTCAGGAGGTCATCTAGTCCAACCCCCTGCTCAAAGCAGGACCAATTCCCAACTAAAAATCATCCCAGCCAGGGCTTTGTCAAGCCTGACCTTAAAAACCTCTAAGGAAGGAGATTCCACCACCTCCCTAGGTAACCCATTCCAGTGCTTCACCACCCACCTAGTGAAAAAGTTTTTCCTAATATCCAACCTAAACCTCCCCCACTGCAACTTGAGACCATTACTCCTTGTAAACATTAACTTCAACTGGAGTTCCAGGTGGTCAGCATTTCGTGGAGGGAGGGGGTTGGGGGAAATAAGACCCTAGATTCCTATCAAACTATTAAATTAAAATGATTTATATACATCTTTAATAGTACATTCAACAGAAATCTTTGTATGCATGTTTTGTTTTTTAACAGGCTGTCTGTCGAAACAATGGCTTCTTCTCTTACCATATACCCACCTGGTTTGGTACTACCAAATACGTAAAACCTCTTGTCCAAAAATTGTGTTCTCATGAGCAGATGTTGTGTAGCAAAACTTGCTACAACTCTGTCAATATAGCTTTTCTGATAGATGGCTCTAGCAGTGTTGGAGACAGCAACTTCCGCCTCGTGCTTGAATTCATCAGTAATGTTGCCAAAGCCTTTGAGATCTCCGATATTGGTTCCAAAATTGCAGCCGTGCAGTTCACCTATGGTCAGCGTATGGAGTTCAGCTTCACCGACTATACCACAAAGGAGAAGGTTCTCTCTGCTGTGCGGGGCATTCGTTACATGAGTGGTGGTACCGCTACTGGTGATGCCATTTCTTTCACAACCAGAAACGTGTTTGGACCTGTGAGAGATGGACCCAACAAAAATTTCCTTGTTGTTTTGACTGATGGTCAGTCTTACGATGATGTTAGAGGTCCTGCTGCTGCGGCACACAAAGCAGGTAAAATGATTGAGACAACAAAAGAAACTGGAGGTCAATATTTCACACTCCTGTAGTGTCTTTCACTGGGGGGGAGGGGGAAAGGACTCAAAGAACTTTGTAGACATTAATTAAATCTCATTTTACCCCGGTGAGCTAGTAAAGTGTTGTTGCCCCTTTGGCCCAAACAGTTAACCACAATTGGACCTTGCAAGGTTGGTTGCTAGGGTGAGAAATCAGTGACATGAGTTGGGTGCTTTCTTGTGCAATCGTGTTTATTTATAAAATAGGCACACAAAGGCTCGTTTCCCTTATCATAGTAGCGACAAACAGCAGCAGGCAACTTCCTTACTCAGAAATCCGCAACTCTGCCACTCCAGCAAGTTCTGTGCCCAAGAAGCTCTGTCCCTCTGCTTCCTCTCCGGGTCATACACTCACCTCCTTTCCGGGCTTTCTGCTTCCAGCATCCACAGTCTACAAACAATATCCTACCACTGTGCTTGTAACCAGATAAACTTCTGTTAAGCTATCTGCATTAGCTCTGGCCGGCCACACAACCTATTGCCTTGGGCCATCACCTCCACTGTCTGCAGCTGTTTTCAATACATGAAGAAGATTGATTGCTCCTTCTGTAGAACCTGAAAGAATGCATGGCACACCCACTGGCTGTCTTTTACTAGCAATTACTAGCACTTTTCAGCATAACATATTAACTCCATTTTACAAAGATGCTAGCTGAGGTTAAATGGTTTCCTACAGGTCACAGAGCTAGAAATAGAAACTAGATTTCCCCATTCCCTGTCCTCTGCTCTAAACACCAAACAACCCCACTTATTTTAAATAATTGTATATGACACTTTTAAAGAAAATTATCTGAATCAGTTGACATTACAGTTTATGAACCAAATATCCTGTTTTCAGACTGGAAAATTTCTTGCACTCTACTCACCAAAACTACAGACGCAATGTCTTGGTCTTTTTCTAGTCATTGCTCTTTAGCTATTTTCCTGTCTCATTATGTGCAGTACAAATGTTGTAAATTTACATATGTAAGTAAAAGCAGGTTATTACAAATTGAAAATCTGAAAGAAAAAAAATCCTATCAGCTCAAGCTTGAGGCATAGCCAGTATGGTATTAAACTTGACTTCTACCATCATCATCTACTGGGGGGGAAGGTGGTTTGGCTAAAAAGCCTCTCTGAACTACTGTCACTGGAGAGAACTGACTGAGCACAATGATTCAGTCCTATTGTTCAGAAAATCTTTCAGTTATTAAATTGGTATCTAGTACACAATAGATCAGACTTCCATTCCGTGTGTCTTATCAAAGTTTAATGACATCACTACTTCTTTCATAGGCAGTATTATAAAATATCTAAAATGCTAGCCTTATAAGTTGCTCCATGCTTCTTACTGTAAACTTGTTTAAGTGAAAGCAGAAAACCTCCTCTGGTTCCAAATATTTAGGACCCAATGTTGTTCCTGCTGAAGTCTAGTGGTAAGAGTCCCATTGTCTTTGGCCAGCTGCATATTTTGCCTTTTTTTTTTTTTTGGTCCAAATTAATCCAGTAAATGTAAATTTGGAGAGCTATTTTCCTTCTATCTACAAACTTCTTGAGCTTACATGTGGTTTTTTGTTTTTTGTTTTTAAATAATACTATAGGTATTACAGTCTTCTCTATTGGTGTTGCCTGGGCACCACTGGATGATCTGAAAGACATGGCCTCTGAACCAAGAGAGTCGCACAATTTCTTCACAAGAGAGTTCACAGGATTGGAGCAGATTGTTCCTGATGTTGTTAGAGGCATTTGTAGAGATTTCTTGAACTCTAAACAGTAAAGGAAAGGCTGTTGGTCACTTTGTTGAAACTAAATCAAGGAAGCTGGGAAGGTCTCTCTACAGTGCAGATATCCCATTCTTTTAATACACAGTCAAAGTCTTGGGATAAGATACAAAGAATCGCACTCTGCTTTCTAAACTCAAATAAAAGCGTCCAGTGACGTCATTGCAAGTTTTGCTTGATTAGGGACTGCAGGATTTTGCCAAAAGCTATTTTAAATGTTTATTAACAGCCCTCAATTCATATTTAAAGTTAAGCATACATTACACTTAAGGTACCAGATATCAGCTGTATGTATATACAAAAAATACAAGGTAACTTAGCTCCTACATTTGTGGGCTGTCATTTGCTGAATGTCTCCTTACACATGAAAATTAATACACTTTTAGCTATCTAACACCTTGTATTCAAAATATACAGTTGAAGTTTCTTGATTTAGTCCAGAAGGCGCTCTCACTATTGTGATGAAAAGACAAGATTGGGAACACATAGTTTTCACAGAAATGTTTTCAGTGTTCCATTTGTGCAACAGCTACTTCAGCTATTATTACAATGGGTGGTTTGTAAGAGGATGTGTGTCAGAATAAAGCAAAAGAGTCTTGTTCTATTGGATGAGAGCCTTCTACAGCAAATGACACTCTAATTTGGCTAGTAGATCTGGTTTCAAAAGAATACCTGGTCACTTTCGCCAGCTCCCAAGGAGCAATCCTATCAAGTGTTTAGGCCTAGATCCTCAAAAGGTATTTAGACACCTAATTCCCATCAATTTCAATGGGAGATAGATGCCTAAATAGCTTTGACCATCTGGGCCTTGGGCTAAACTGTCTTCCTATTCCTATTAAAGTCAATGGCAAAATTCCCAGTAAATTCAATGGGTCTGATTTTCTCCACTGCCTTGCACATTGGGTAGTCATTTACATGTGGGAGTAAAATGCTACCATACTTATTTAGTAGTGTTTTACATTGTCTAGTCATTTACACTTGTAAAAAGTCAAAGTTCCAGGCAGGGCCATAGAGACTAGATTAGAGCCTTCAGTTGAAATTGAGGGCATACAGACTGACATCCAAAATGAGCTCAGATCACCAACCTTAACTTGTCTATAGTGAGTTACTCAACCAGTTGGAGGAGACGTAAGTAGGAAGAAAGAAAGATAGAGTATACCATAGCCAGCAGGTGATTACTTTTGGAACAATTCTTTATGAAGCCACTTAAAACAGATTTAAACCCTCATATTGTTTTTAAAATATGAAAAACAGCTTTTGAAAAATCTCTCTTCCATTTGATTTTGTCCATATTTGCACCCATATATGTATGTGGTTAAAATTAAATACCTTACAATGAATTATTATATATCAAGCGTCTGAAGTGGACAATACATTCTGACCCAAATATTTTTTTTATAACCTGTTTTATAGGTAGTAAGCTTTTGTTACCAACCACAACACTTTCCTGTTCAACTATCAATCTGGGGTTTCTTTCATTTTTCTCATTTTGTGCTGTTGGTTGTAAAATGCTAAGCAGTTACGAATGGTACAGAAAGGGTCATATTTATCAGGCTTTTTGTAGTGTATATTTTTAATAACTTATGACTGGCTATATATTACAGTAAACATGAATGGCAAGGATGCCTTGTATTTTTCTATTAATTGTTATTCTTAATTTTGTATATGTTTATAGATATACAGTATTCAGGTATTCCTGTATGAATCATCCAGGTATTCAAAGTAAAATATCAGCATTGTGCAGACTATAAACATTTTAGCTTTCTCTTTTGATATGAAAATACACCTACTGCAAGTAAACTTTTAGACTGAGATTGCAGCTAGCTATTTTAATATTCAGTAATGCAAAAACCATTCTATGTTCAACCCCCATAATACATTCTGAATACATCAATAAAGCAAACATAATAAAGAATGCAAGTATCAGTATTGTTTTTAATTATTGAATTGCATTAAAAACCCCCAAAATGAAAGGATACTAGTTATACATCTGTCCATGATTGTTGAGTCTACTAATACCAAAATAACAATGTTCCATGCTAAATATGATGGTAAATGTAAACAACTGAATACAAACACACTCACCAGTTAGTGAATTCACAAGTTCTGTGGCGCACAATTTTTTTCTGTTTATTGTTGTTGAAGGGACAAACCACAGAGCTTTTCACAGATACAGCCTTTGAACACAAATAGGTCAAGTTTGGATCTTTAAAACAATGAAATATTTCATTGTTAATGTCTAAAAAGGTACAAAATGTGGCCAGTCGTGCATATGACCTTCTCCACCCTAGAAAAAACTTAGATGTTATCTCACCATTGTTCTAATGCTTGTGCAATTCCACAAATACTAGCAATTGTCTACACTAGTGCTCCTACTGGGAGTGTGTTTATCGCTGTTGTCTACACTTGCACTGAACAAGTCAAAACAAGAAATGCTTGTAGTCTTTCTACACTGGTGCTCTTGGCACCAGCGGAATTGCACTGGTGGTAGCCAGCAGTGGGAGAATTGCTAAACGTTTAAGTGTTGATGCAGCCAATGAGGACAGATTGCACTCTTAGTACAACCCAATCACTGTAAACTCAGGAACTAGTATGCACAAAAATTCTTAACCCCACCCCACTAAAATTTACATGTAGGGGAAAAGTTGTGAGCACTACTATATGCTGTAGGCGCAAAATGTGGGCAGAATTACTGCTTGACCAGGTGTGAGGTCAAAAGGGAGATGTTAGGGAGAAAGGGTGCTCTTTCTGTGTACAAAATGCTGTCATAAGAAGAGCATGTTGCAGCAATAGCAGACACACAGAGAAGGCACAGTACTTTAACTGTGGACACTGGGGAGGCAGAATAGTACAGTAACTCCTCGCTTAATGGTGTAGTTTTATGTTCCTGAAAAATGCAACTTTAAGCGAAACGATGTTAAGCGAATCCAATTTCCCCATAAGAAATAATGTAAATGGGGAGGGTTAGGTTCCAAGGGAATTTTTTTCACTAGACAAAAAACTATATATTATATAGATATACACACAGTATACATTTTAAACAAACAATTTAATACTGTTCACAGCAATGATGATTGTGAAGCTTGGTTGAGGTGGCGGAGTCAGAGGGTGGAAGAGAGAGGGATATTTCCCAGGGAATGCCTTGCTGCTAAATGATGAACTAGCACTTGGCTGAACCCTCAAGGGTTAACACATTGCTAATGTAGCCTCTCATCAAGGCAGCATGAACAGGAGGGAGGGGAGACAGCATGGTAGACAGAGACAGACACACACCTTGTGTGTGGGAGAGAGAGAGAGAGAGAGAGAGATGCACACTGCCCCTTTAAGTAAGCTGACCCACTCTTAAGTGCATTGTCTTTTTAAGTGGATCAGGAAGTTGAGACAGCAGCTGCTGCCCCAGAATCTCTCTGTCTCTCTCCGTTTGTATCCCCTCCCTGCTCTATATGGAGAAGGGGTAAGTGGGGTGCAGGAGCAGGGGGACACCCTGATATTAGTCCCCCCGTTCTCCTCCTGTGAGGAGTTACTGTATAGTGAATGAGCTGAGTAAGTTGCTCACACAGTTTTTGGGTTGTCTTCTGCTCTAAAAGTCTCTGTCATAGTACATGTGCATGTAACTATTGTTGGATCTATTCCTATGCCACTACTGGTCATAGGGCATACAAACTGTTTTCCCAGTGGAGACTATGCCCAGATAGCAGTTTTTCAAGATCAGGTGCTTCAATATCTACCTGTCTTAGGGCAGAAGGTAGACAACATATCCCAGGAGCTGCAGACAATGCAATAGCCTGTGCTGACTAGGGCTCTAAACATTAGGCACACATGGTAAAAATTTTAAAGGCATCAAAGTGACTTAGGAGTCTAAGCCCTGTATCCTAAAGTGACAGGCATTTAAGGCCAGTTTTTTAAAGGTATTTAGGCACTAGTAGAATGTTCTAAATCAGCTAAGTGCCTAATTTTCATGAGCACATTTGAAACATTTACACCCTATGCAGGCCTGTGCAGCTCCTAAGGGTCAGACAAAATTAGGGATAATTAAGACTTCCCATTCGCCATGTTTTGCTCCCTATGAACAATCTGGTTCTTGGTCACATGAGTAGGAGGCAGGACAGAAAGATACTCAATTCCCCCCCCCCCCCCGTTTTATAGCTGTAGATAGATGGTTACTAGCAACAGTTATTGCTGCCAGATTTCCCTCTTCCCTTTCCGTTACCTTTTGTTTCCTATGTTGCACACTAGTGTTAATTTCAAAGAAAAGAATAGTTGGGATGTACATAGAGGCCACATCCTTGGTTCCCCTAGCCTCCAGCGACAAGTCCCACTTGCACAGGGGTGTCTTTGGATAGTGTGAAGCAGTTACAATGGCGATCTGCTTCCCCCCTCCTTGCTGGCACAAGGGCAGGGTCTAGGGAAATGGCAAAGGCAGCCACCATAATGTACAGCAGTCTTCATAGTGATGCACTCAGGATCTAGGAACAGCAAACGTAGCTCAAAACCAGCTTTTGTATCCCAACCACAACCTGAGTGTAATAAGGCCAGACCCAGCATCAGACCCGTGTGTTGTTATGGTTAGTGAAACTATTCTATACTGAATGGGCAAGGAGCAAAGTAATTGTCCTACTGTGACTAAGACATAAAAAGAGAAGCTTAGTCAGCCCGGGCAGTAACTGTAGTTCTTCAAGATGTATCCCCCTATGGGTGCTCCACTTTAGGTGCGTGAATGCCCTCCACACCTTTGATCAGAGATTTCATTAGCAGTGTTCATTTGCCCATGTGGTGTGATCATAAAGAAACTTTATCCTTGTAGAACACTGTGAAAGGAGGGTCTGCTATTAAGGCCCCAATCTCTCAGACTCTGTGGGCCGATGTAGTAGCCACTGTGACCAGGTGCCTGGATGGAGCGCACAGAGAATGTCACACTCCAAAACTGGTGGTTTATATTCTATAACAGAGTTACCAAACAAGTATCAAAAGAGCTTCTGTAGCACCCCACTGGTTA